AAAATATTAAGTGAACTCATTCTAGAACCACTGGTTGACAGAGCCCGCACAGCTTCAGTCTTCAGGAAAAAGCAGTCTTACTAGGAAAGGGCTGCGTGCCCCAGACCGGGCTCTTGGATTGGGGGCTGAGATTCAGTGGCTGGAGAGGATCCGAGGGGTCCAGCGTTCCTAGGACTGGGGCTGAAGTGTTGGGCTGCGTGGGTCGGGGCAGACCGGAGGAGCCACCAGGGGTCGGGACCACATTCACGTGCTGTGTCGCCCGCAGGCGGTGCCTACGCGGCCGAGCCCGAGGAGAACAAGCGGACGCGCACCGCCTACACTCGCGCGCAGCTGCTCGAGTTGGAGAAGGAGTTTCTATTTAACAAATACATCTCCAGGCCGCGCCGGGTGGAGCTGGCCGTTATGCTGAACTTGACCGAGAGACACATCAAGATCTGGTTCCAAAATCGCCGCATGAAGTGGAAAAAGGAGGAGGACAAGAAGCGCAGCTGCGGGACCGTGTCCGCAGGTGGCGGGGACGCGGAGCCCGAGCAGGACTGCGCGGTGACCTCTGGCGAGGAGCTGCTGGCGCTGCCACCACCGCCGCCCCCCGGGGGTGCCGTGCCGCCCGCTGTCCCGGCCGCCGCCCGAGAGGGCCGCCTGCCGCCTGGCCTGAGTGCTTCGCCTCAGCCTTCCAGTGTCGCGCCCCTACGGCCACAGGAACCCCGGTGAGAGATGGGGCTCCTCCCGCCAGGTGGCTTCGACCCCTCGCAAAGGAGGGAGGAGCGGAGCTAGGACCCCGGGTGTGGACCATCGGTCCTGGTCCTTCGATGGGGCAGGAGCTGAGGGACGCACCGCAGACTGGAGGGGATAACCCGCGCCGCGAGGCGCCTGTGTCTACTGGGGCGCGTAGCTGCCCTACCTTCTGGAAGGAGAAGAGACATTTTCTGTAATATCTGGGGCCTCTTCTGGTGACGTTGTTGGATTGACGTCTGCTGCCTGTTGCACAGGTCCCAGCACTCCAGAACCGTGGACTTCTTTAGAGAAAACAACTCTTCAAAAGACAGCAGAAACTATACAAACTGCAATACTCCCCAAC